GGAACTAAACCGGTGAGGATATACCCGAAAATAGACTTTTGTGCCAACAACGATTTCAAAACTATTTTTGGTGGTTCAGCTTCCAAAATTTGGGGATAAAGGTCAGCGCCAATTAACAAATCTATTGGGCTGCCGTCAAAGTTGTCCGCTAAATCTAAATGAAGAATTTTAGATTTCAAATTCGATATGTTTGGTGGTGGGAAGAATTTCCGCTTAACATTAGGTAAGACCAAAGCTTCTGTTTCAACTATTCTAGGCGAATTTTTAGGGGACGACAACTTAAGAGAACAAACTTCTCTTAAAGTAGGAGGTTTGAATTCATTCTTCGAGTGAGCAGAAAGGCCGAGTGCATTTCTAAGTTTTTTACTAACAATAGATACCTTTGAAGAAGGATCAATAATGGCACGCGCTGGATGCGTTTTCCCATTATGAACAATATTTACCACAGCTGTTCCCAAGAGCACATTACTATCCTGGGCGGTAATAGGTATCTGGCGATTAACAACTTTTTTATACGAAGAAGGATGCGACAAATTAGATGCTCGACTTTTGACTTTGGTAAAAGCCGGGGAAGGGTTTTCCGAAGAACGGGACAACAAATTATTTACTCGACTTCTGAACTTGGTAAAAGCCGGAGGAGAATTCGACGAAGCAACTCTATTTATTTGTGGCCGGTGAAGAAGGCTGTGGTGTCTTTGTTTGCACACATTGCAACTAAATTTGCTTTTGCAGTCTTTTACTGCATGACCACGGGATAAGCAATTTATACAACACTTATTTTTCTTTACTATCAAAAATTTGTCCTCAAACGAAAGTTTTATGAACTTGGGGCAGAGTCGCAAATGATGGCTCTGTGTAGGACAAATGGTGCAAGAAGTTGATGACGAAACTATAGATCGAGGAGAGGTAACACGCTTTGAATGATGTACCGACAACAAGGTATTAGACGATCTAGGTGAATCAATATTGTAAGGTGACAACTTCTTAGAGGAGATAGGGGAAGACATTTTCTTTAGCAACAACTTATTTTTGGAGGGGAGGATGTGTTCAAGGCAGATCAATGTTTGTATCCTCTCTGTGAGGAAAGCATCCAATTCTTTCCAAGAAGACAACGACGATTTATTTTTGATACTTTGCTCCCACAGAGTCAAAGTTAATTTTGGCAAACGCTGCAAACAAACAAATACAATAATTGGATCCCACTGATCCGTGGCCACGTCATAGACGGACATTGCAGCAAGGCAACTATTTATGCCACGTTGGATAGTTTTAAGGCCAGAAATAGTTTCAATCTCGACGGAGGGGATGTCAAACAAAGATTTGAGGTGACAATGTACTACGATACGTTTGTTTTCATAAGTATCTGAGAGAGCTTTCCACGCTAAAGGGAAACTACAATTAGTGAGTGGAAATTTGGAAATGATTTCGCGAGCCTCACCGGTGGTCTTCTGCATTAGATGACAGAGACGTTCAATGTCAGATAAACAACAATTATTTATAAAAAGGGTGGTGAAGAGATCCCGGAAAGTGGGCCAAGATATGAAATCACCATCAAAAACATCAATGTCGATAGGCGGGACAACAAAACTATGATTATCGACAGGTGGGCAAGTGTAGCTGTTGGAGGTGGTAGAAGATTGAATTTCAGGAGCAACGAGAGAGGTGGTGGACTGCACAGATTTGCCTGAGGGCAAACCGGAAGGAGAGCAATTCAACAATGTGCTTGATGGTTTGGAGGTACTACAACTTGATGGAGGTGATGAAAGTAAAGGAGCTATAGTAGGAGAACTATTATCATTTACTTGTAATTTAAGGTGACCGAGATGCCGATTGATGGTGGATAAACACCAGGAATATGCAATAAATGCAGTATTATATTTTTCCTCTACGACATCAATATTATCTGTCTGTGCAGTCTCGGATGCCGTGAGGTATGTTTTACACTCATCATAAGTGCACTGGACTTTATTCCACAGCTCTCGAATCTCTGAACTACGAATTTCGAGATTGTAGACAGAATATGTGCATTCTTTAATAATTTCAAATGCTGCTACACTTTTCAAAACAATTTCAGTAGCTCTAATGAAACGAGTTATAGGAGTTATCGACATTTTGTTCCTGAATGTGAAAACCCACAAAACGAAATTTCTCAATTGAAGAATAAACAACAAATAATTGAATAAAAAATCCCAAAATTCAACAAAGGTTGCTATAGCTCAACCAAAATATGCAAATTACAACAAAACCTCCAATAATATTAACAAAAATAACTATAATCTCTAGTGTTAAAGTAGCACAAAGGTAGGGAAAATTAGAAGAAACTTCCCCTAGGTGACAAAACTACTTTAATGCGACCACAAATGCAATTATTTGTTCCAAATGTTCAACGAAATTCCTCAAACTTTGCAAATTCTACCAATGGTAGGGTGTATTTGAGGCGGTGAATGCCAAATGTAGGGTGCAGGTGTCCAAATTTTCAAAAAACTCAACAAGGTGTACTCAATTGTTAAAAAAAATATTGAATAAAAACAACAAAAACAAGGAAGAAATATTCGAAAAATTAATATTTTTCCATGTGCTAAATATGCTCCAATATAGTTGCAATAGTTGCCGACTGTAGGGTACAAATGTCCAAAAATATCAAATACCCTACCAATAAACAGTAATTATTTCGAAAATATTTAAAAAATAATTTTAATATTAATTTTTGCAAATTCACAATTTTTGTCGCTTGGTACCACTGTGCTGTAGTGTGGTGAATAACGAATATCACACAAAACAGAATAAAACACAAGCGACGCTAACAGAGAAATGTCTATGCGTAAGCAGCTACGCACCCACACAACACACGACGCGAGAAACGATCCAACAGTGAGAGTTGGAGCCGACAACAGTTGTTGGTATATTTTCTACTATACCAAGGTGACGCTAGAAAAAGGCGCGTGGAATACACGTGTGTTGTTGTTGCAAAATGACTGTGCAAATTCTCCAGTGAGAATTGATCAATACAGTAGAACAACAATAACAACAAGGAATATTTGGTTGGTGGTGGAGTAAGTGACAAATAAACCAAACAACAAGACAGTGGACTGTTAGGTTACAAGTGTTGTTATTGTATTTTGGAGTAATAGGTGGACAAGAGATGAGATGTTGTTATTGCAAATATTACAAAATTTAACTTTGCTTGTTAGAACAAACAAGGGGGGATAACAACACGACAAATTCGTTTGGTTGGTGAGAATTTAAACAACAAATAAACCAAACGACCAAAGTGCGCTCACGACAAGTGATGCTTGTGTTGTTATTGCAATTTAGACAATGTAAAAAAGAAGTGATCGAGGGAGATTACAACAAAGCTATTGCGTTTGGTTGGTGAGAGGGGAAGAGCAACAAATTAACCAAACGAACAATATATGGAGCGGTGATTTTTTTTTATATTTTAACAACCGATCGTTGGGAACAATTTGCGTTGTTAGTGTAAATATGTATCACTGCAAACGAGAAGGAATAATTTAGCAAACAAGTGATAATAACAACAACTCGGAAAGGTTTTGTATGACCAACGCGACGTAGGGTGATCAGTACAAACAAACGAAATGTAAACTTCGTAACAACGAAATAGTTTAAGTGGACTGTATTTAGGGTGCTTTAGTTAAACAACACGCGTAGGGGTAATTGAAAGTCGACCAATGCAATAATTCTTTGTTATGCGAATTCAAAGACAAATAAAATATACTAACACTCGCGGTAGCTCACTGTTTAAAGAAATCTGAGTTTACGTACCTGGTGTTAGTATGGTGATTTGTTGTTGCGGTGATGAGTTGAGAGTTGTTTTAAGATAATTATTTTTCCAAAAAGCAACAACAAATAGGCGGCTAACTTCAATCCGGCTCGATACGACCAAATGTTTAGGCGAGGGACATGCTCTACTCCTCGCCGATGTGGTGATGGAGGGGGGTGATCAAATAATTAACTCGAGGGAGCGGGGTGAAACAATAACGAGAGCTCCCAAGCAGTTATGGTGTTACGCGCGTGTTGGTGTAAATAGAATGAAAAGAGAAGATATAGCAAGGAATAAAACGCAAGAGATTATTAATATTCTAATTCATTGGCTTTATTGGTGATTCTTTCTTTTCGTATAACAAATAAATTACCTTCTGTAATTTGGTGTGGTGGCGCCAGAGGCCTGTTAGTGCTAACACGTAGATGTTAGCTCGACAAGAGTTAGTTAGCAAGTTGACTCTTCGATAGCTACAAGACAAGTGAAGACAGAGTTCTTGTGATCGCAGAGGATCGCTTGTCTATTTCTACTAATACATATACATATTCCAATGAGTGAAAATAGCAAGGAGAGCAAAACAACTACTTCCCCCGCTGGTAGGTCATCCGCGCCCTACGGTATACGCAGAAGGAATGTGTAGGGGAGATGCCAGTAATGCCAATCAGCATCCGTGATTGATCCAGCTCAGGAAGTGGTGTCAGAACATATCAAAAATATACAATACCTTTAAATCATTTTCCCCCATTTCCGATTAATTTTTAGTCTTTTGAAACGGCATCAACCTGCATCATAAATGCACTCTTACTTCTGGCCATGCATCCCGAATACCAAACAATATTACGTCAGGAAATTCATGAAGTTTTATCCATGGATATAACTCCATTAACAACTAATGGCGTACAGACTACCATAACAATGACCCATCTGCAAGCAATGCCATATTTGGATATGATTTTAAAAGAATCCTTACGTCTATTAACTACTGTCCCGATTATTTTACGAAATGTCAGTTGTGATTTTGATTTGAAGATTAAAAATGCTCAAAACAATGGCGACTATACGAAAATCGTAAAGGTGCCGAAAAACACAATTATAGCTGGCGATATATTCGAAATGCAACGCAGCACTGACGTTTGGGGTCCGAAGGCTCGTGAATTTTATCCGGAACATTTTGCGAAAAATACAAATGGTGAAAGTGGAACAAAACGTCATCCTTATGCATATATACCATTTTTGAAAGGCATACGAACCTGCATAGGTATGTCAGGGGTTATTTGCTACTATTTAATAGGTATTAACATTAATTGTGTATTTTGATCTATTTGCAGGTAATCGTTACAGTATCTACTTATCAAAAATAATTCTCATTAAATTAATCGGATCCCTTAATCTGCATACCAGTACAAAGCTTCAGGAATTGGAATTTTGTGAAGGTGTATCATTAAAGTATCGCAATTCTGCAGATATATCGTTCGAAATTATTTCTATGGCGGATGATGACTAACGAAAATCGTAAATGTTTTTAATAATCCTCAATGTTTATTAATGTCAAAATGAATAATATAAACCAGTAAGGAAAGTAGTAGCCAAAAGTAGGGCCAACTATATAATACCCTTCACCACTATGGGTATATTAAACAGGACCATTAACATGAAATTGGATGAACTAAAATATGTAATACTTATCTAAATGTGAATCGACTAAGATCAATCCATAAACATGTCATTCGTTTGTTACGCTATTATATGCTAAGTTTTGTACGATGTGCAAAATTTTATGTCAATCTGAAAAACATGAGGAATTTAATGCACCATTTACTTAAAATCGGACGAAAATATATATAGATGCTATATCCAAATATGAACCGATTTCTTGTCACTTGTCACGGGTTAGGTTATACTAATTTCAGTACGTTTTGTTCCTATCAGCCTTGGTGCGTCAATTACTTAAAATCAATCGATAATATATAAGGGAGCTATATCTAAATCTGGATCGATTTCCACGAAACTTGGCAAACGTCACTCCAGGTTCAATTCAGTACGCTATGTCAAATTTCGTGCAAATCGAAAGATATATAGGGACTTTGGTGTACCAACTATATAAAATCGGATGAAACTATATATGGGAGCTATATCTAAATCTGGACTGATTTTCAAGAAACTTGGCAGACGTCACTCCAGGCTCAATTCAGTACGCTATGCCAAATTTCGTGCAAATCGAAAGATATATTGGGACTTTGGTGTACCAACTATATAAAATCGGATGAACCTTCATATGGGAGCTATATCTATATCTGGACCGATTTTCTGGACTAAGCACACATCATTCTAGACCTAATTCAGTACGCTGTGCCAAATTTCATGCAAATCGAAAGGTATATATGGACTTTGGTGCACCATTTACATAAAATCGGACAAAACTATATATGGGAGCTATATCTAAATCTGAACCGATTGGCACACATCATTCTGGTCCTAATTCAGTACTCTATACCAAATTTCGTGCAAATCGAATGATATATAGTGACTTTGGTGCACCATTAACCTTAAATCGGACGAAACTATATATGGGAGCTATATATAAATCTGAACCGATTTTCTCGAAACTTGACACACATCATTCTGCATCTAATTCAGTACTCTGTGCCAAATTTCATGCAAATCGAAATATATTAACGGACTTTGGTGTCCCATTTTCATAAAATCGGACGAAAATATATATGGGAGCTATATCTAAATCTGAACCGATTTTTCCCAATTTTAATAGTGTTCGTTCTTGGACCAAATAAGTGACTTGCGCCAAATTTTATCCAAACCGGATCATAAATGCGACCTGTACTTTGTTTACAATTTAACGTCTACAGACATTACAAGTTGACACTACATAGAAATGGACCTATTCATCACCTCTTCGGACAAGATCTAGGCTGGTAAAAGTATTACGATGTGCATTGTTTGGATTAAATCGGAATTCAACTCTATTGATATTGGATTTACACATTTTAAAAGGTTGACACTTTGTGGGAAATATACCAGAAGGAGTGGGCCGATAGGCCCCATCATCAACTATGATTTAAGCCTGGTCAAAATATTACGATGTGTCAAGTTTAGATGAAATCGGATATTCCGTTAGCTTCATACGATATTTACAAAATGTTTCAAATGTTGACTTTGGTAAGGACGGTATTCTTGTCAGTCCTGATTTTTTTTTGGCTTTGTCTCCCAATTTGTAAATTTTGGCAAAACACAATATCAAACTGTTATCCATGCCTCCATATCAGGTTAACTTGGAATATATAATTTGAATGGAAATATGTTCCGAAAAGAAATAAAGTGTATATAAAAGTAACAAATTAGCAAGTTTTGTGTCTAAAGCTAACAACAGTTTTGAATATGGACAAATTGTTGTATCTCCTTCGTCGTCTAACGTTAAATATAGATACGAGTGAAATATTAGGTTGGGGAAAAGAAATCCATTATTTTTATATCAACTATAGGACTTCATTTTATGACTTCTCTCATAGAAGTCCTGCTCTCTATTGCAAAAAAACTCTAGTAGTCGATTTTCACAATTCCACCAAGATACCATTTTTTATCAATAAAAAATTTTGCAATGCAAGAAAAATATGATAATCGGAGTGTATGGCGTATGCATTAAAGCTTCCCAACCAAGCTCCCGAGGTTTCTGGCAAGTCACTGTAGATGTGTGTGTGGCCTAGCGTTGTCCTCGTGTAACACGACACCTCTTCTGTTGGCCAATTCTGGTCAATTGCTATCTTCAAACGATCCAGTTGTTGACAGTCAGAATTGAGCGTTTGGTCATATGGGAGAAACTCATAATAAATAATCCCCGTCTAGTCCCACCAAATGCATAGCAGAACCTTCTGGGCCGTCAGTCCTGGTTTGGCCACCGTTTGAGGTGCTTCTCCGCTCTTTGACCACTATCTATCTCATTCTGTTTGGCCAAGGTTTCGCAGATGGATATTTTCCATATTTCCATATTTGCCATATTTTGCCAGGAAAATTGTTTGAGCGCCGCTCAAACCGAACTTTGGATACCCTCCACCATAGATATACTGACAGGCACTAGAAATTAAAATATAGAGAAACATACCAAGAAGTGGACCATACCGACATTTCTAAAAACGGATTATGTAAACCATAATATAAATTTCAGAAATTTTTAATGGATAATTAAACTTTCAGCCTTATGGCTAATGAGGTTGTATACACTTTGACACTGTGAAAATGTGCCTCATCGAAATATTGGTTCTAGACCCCATGTTTTTTGGACCAAATTTGTTTCAGAAAAATATGATTTCGTCCAAACTTTGCCCATATTATTATTTCTTCCAAACTTAGTTCAAGTTCGAAGATGGAGAATATCGGTCCACTCCTTCTGGTACCTCTCACCCAGGGGCTAGGCCTGAATGCGGGTTATAGTTCACATATAGTTCATTATCGAACCCTATGTTCTAGTTTTTTATTTGATATCCTCCACAACAGAGTCTTAGAACCAAACCCTAATCGCGGAATAAATTAGATAACTATTTTAATATAAACCAGTAAGGAAAGTAGTAAAGTCGCACTGGGCCGACTATATGATACCCTTCACCATTCGAAGGAACACACACATTTAATTTCATTCGGGCAGATTTAGAGTCGTCTCCGTACCATGGGACAAATTTATGGAAAACGATTTATAGCAAAATTGATACACGCTATTCGGTACGCCGCATTGTTAAAATTTTAATTTCAATTAGAGAACCGGTCGAAATACATATGGAAGCTATAGCTGCATCTGTCTGCACCAATTTCAACAAAACGCAATAACGTCATTCAAGTCTGAATTTGATATGTTGTGCAAAATTTCGTATTAATCTGACTATCATTAGGAGTTTGGTGCACCATATATGTAAAACCGGACGCAAATATATATGGGAGCTACATCTTTATCAGGATTAAGTATTAATCCGGATAAATCCTTGATCCGGGGTTTATGAACCCTAATCCGGATTAAGCTTTAATCCGGGGTCAATGACCCTTAATCCGAATTAAACCTTAATCCGGGGTCAATGACCCTTAATCCGGATTAAGTATAATTGACCCCGGATTAAGGCTTAAATCGATTAAGGGTCATTGAACCCGGATTAAGGCTTAATCCGGATAAACTCTTAATCCGGGGTTAATGACCCCTAATCCGGATTAAGGTTTAAATCGATTAAGGGTCATTGCACCCGGATTAAGGCTTAATCCGGATAAACTCCGGATAAGATCCGGATAAACCCTTAATCCGGGGTTAATGACCCCTAATCCGTATTAAGTCTTAATCCGGATAAACCCTTAATCCGGGGTTAATGACCCCTAATCCGGATTAAGCCTTAATCCGGGGTCAATGACCCTTATTCCGAATTAAGCCTTAACCCGGGGTCAATGACCCTTAATCCGGATTAAGTGTAATTGACCTTGAATTAAGGCTTAATCCGGATTATGGGTCATTAACCATGTATTAAGGGTTTATCCGGATTAAGCCTTAATCCGGGGTCAATTACACTTAATCCGGATTAAGGGTCATTGACCCCGGGTTAAGGCTTAATTAGGAATAAGGGTCATTGACTCCGGGTTAAGGCTTCATTCGGAATAAGGGTCATTGACCCCGTATTAAGGCTTAAATCGATTAAGGGTCACTGACCCCGGATTAAGGCTTATCCGGATAAACCCTTAATCCTGGGTTAATGACCCCTAATCCGTATTAAGTCTTAATCCGGATAAACCCTTAATCCGGGGTTAATGACCCTTAATCGATTTAAGCCTTAATCCGGGGTCAATGACCCTTATTCCGAATTAAGCCTTAACCCGGGGTCAATGACCCTTAATCCGGATTAAGTGTAATTGACCCCGGATTAAGGCTTAATCCGGATTATGGGTCATTAACCATGTATTAAGGGTTTATCCGGATTAAGCCTTAATCCGGGGTCAATTACACTTAATCCGGATTAAGGGTCATTGACCCCGGATTATGGCTTAATCCGGATTAAGGGTCATTGACCCCGGATTAAGGCTTAATTTGGATTAGGGGTCATTGACCCCGGATTAGGGGTCATTAACCCCGGATTAAGGGTTTGTCCGGATTAAGCCTTAATCCGGGGTCAATGACCCTTAATCGATTTAAGCCTTAATCCGGGGTCAATGACCCTTATTCCGAATTAAGCCTTAGCCCGGGGTCAATGACCCTTAATCCGGATTAAGTGTAATTGACCCCGGATTAAGGCTTAATCCGGATAAACCCTTAATCCATGGTTAATGACCCATAATCCGGATTAAGCCTTAATCCGAGGTCAATTACACTTAATCCGGATTAACGGTCATTGACCCGGGGTTAAGGCTTAATTCGGAATAAGGGTCATTGACCCCGGATTAAGGCTTAAATCGATTAAGGGTCATTGACCCCGGATTAAGGCTTAATCCGGATTAGGGGTCATTAACCCCGGATTAAGGGTTTAT